AAACAATTTTTTAAAAAAATTGTAGAGAGATTTTTGCTATGGATTGAGTGCACTCGCCAGAGACACAGAGAGAGACACAGAGAGAGAAAGTGAGAAAACACCCCTCCAGGTGAGATGGCCACACTACAATCCCTTCTCCTCCATTCTCCTTGGGATTTTGGGTAGGTATGCACACACACCTGGTGCAAGTTTTAAACCACTGGGTTCAGGACTCAAACTATGGTTAGCCATGCGACAGTCCATTGCCCCAACCACTATGCCACCTGCTGGCCCCCGCAGTACATTTTTGTGATAGTTACTGCAGCCCCGGCAAATGACCAAACTCTAGTCCATGGAGTTCAGGTTCAGACTCAGGCATCCGAGCTCCGAAGTCCAATCGTAGGCTCCATGTGTGGATCCTCTGTGGCCTCTTGGTATCCCCTGGAAAGCTCTGGGCACCATCCTGTTCATCGCAGGTGCTCAGAGCGGGGTACTGTTAGTAGCAGATCTGGCCCTTCTCACAGAAAGGCCCTGGCCTTCCCAGGCATTTGGGACATCTTGAAGGCAGGCCCTGCTTGCCCTGCATTCCTGGAGCTTGCCTGGGCCCAATGCCAACTGTACTTGGCAGAGGCCCAAGCGGCATTTGTTGAATGAATGAATGACTAGAAGGAGTGACCTGCATGCGAGGTCACTGAACTGCTGGTTCTGCATCTCCACCCTTGGCCTGGTCCTGCAACTGATTGGCAAATATTTAGTCCAGCTCCTCAGATTTCAAAATGCCCTTCTGGTGCATTCAACAAATACAATGAAAAGGCTCCACGCAAGAGATCTTGTCTCTCCAGAGCAGCCCGTGGCTCACTGTGGGGTCTCGCAATTGCACAGTCCTCGTTATGCCACCAGGGAGGCAGGTGGCCCTGGAGGCAGCCTCCACCCCCTGCTCCCGCTCAGAGGACCCACGCATGTTTGTGAGGTCAGGACAGTCTGTCCGTACTTTGCAACAGGAGGGCAGAGGGAGGCAACGCGAATGGTGGTGACGTAGTCTGTCACATGCAAGACCCTGGATTTCCATGGTGACAGGTTTGCACAACTCCAGTGACAGGTATGGGGAGAAGGCAGCGTGCGCTCGTCCCGTCATTCCTTCTTAGGTTCCGCACGTAGCTGGAAAGTGGGCGTTGGCCATGCCTGAGATCAGAACAACAAACTCTTCGCTAGTCTCACCTCTGGCCACCCAGGTGACAGTTACAGGGGACCCCCATCAGCAGCATTGCCCACTGGACCCACAGGTGTCACCCCGTCAATCCAATTCAATTCAATCCTGACACTGTCCAGCTGGAGACAGTCAGATCCCATGGGTCAAGGACTCAGTCCCAAAAGACGGGCCCCGCTTCAGATGTCAGTCATAATTGTCACCTAAACTTCTGAGGGACTGGCTACAAACCAGGGTTCCCAAGACCCCTTCTGGGGTTTAATTAATTATCTAGGAGAGTTCATAGGACTCAAGGAAACACCTGAATTTATGGATTTATTATCTCAATAGAGGAGACAGGTGTACAGCCAGGTAGAAGGGTGCAGAACTTCCATGCCCACCCGGGCTGGCTGCCCTCAGGAACCCCTGGAAGGTCCCCGAAGCCTGTCCTGTGGGGCTTCTACGGAGGCTTCATTGTGTTGGTGTGATTATCATACATTGGTTGTCAGCTCCCCCTTCGGCTTCTCTCCCTCCCTTAGAGGGGGCGGGGGGCAGAAAGTCCCAACCCTCTAATCACAAGGTTGGGTCCCCCCTAACCAGACACCATCCAGGAGCCCCCTTAGAGCCACTTCCTTAGCACAAGAACGCTCCTAGCACCAGGCAATTCCAAGGGACTTTGGGAGTCAGTGTCAGATGCTCTAGTGCTCAGATCATAAACATCTTAGGATCTCGGTCAGAGACCAACTGTGAGAACAAAAATGTCTCCTAGCTCCTGTCCACAAAGGTGTCAGAGGCCTGTCTCAGGAGCCAGGGTAGAGGCCATACACATGTTCATGATGCCACGTCATGGCAGGCCAGTAGTCAGGAAGAGGGAGGGGCCTCCCCCGGGTTGGGGGGGCGCTCAATGCAGGGCAAGCAGGGCCTGCCTTCAAGATGTCCCACTCCGTAGTGGCCGGGAACAGGGCTGTAATTGCTGTCAGGCTAACCATTCGACGGTAGGAGGACAGTCTGTCTTAGGGAGGAGTGAGGCGTTTATGTAAGTCTTGGTGGAGGGCAGATTCTTACCGATAGAGACCTGCTAGGCCAAAGCCCGGAGGTGAGAAGCTCTGGACAACCCAGGAAAACAGCAGTCCTTACTGTGACTGAAACCACTGGATAAGTGAGTGCAAGGGAAGGACCGAGGCAGGCAGAGACCAGACCAGGGAGGGCCTGGCCACAGAAGGAGCTTTTGAACGCTATCTTGTAGGCAATAGGGAGCCATTAACTCTTTCTTTGGAGGGGAGGGAAAAAACTTTATCAGAATAAAAAGACATCACTCTCAAGGCTGAATGAGGGTGACTGGCTTTCTTTTCTCCCGTAGTCACACCAGGGCTTCACTCATTCACCTGTTACCCGGGCAGTGCCATTGACATAGTAACGCTAGACCCTGGCCTCTTTCAGGTCTGTCTGTGACTCTGAAATCCACCCACCCACCTGCCTCGGTAGGAGCAAAGGTGGGAGTGATTCACTTTCTTTCTTGCCTGGTAGTGAAAAACAGACTCCGACTTCCCAGCAGGTACCAGGGGAAATGAAGCAATATCTGAGCTTAGCAGGCTTACTTTCAGCCAATCAAACCGAAGCGTGGGAAGGAAGGTATGCATTCCTCTGAGCCTGAGAGGTCCCCCGGGGTCCTGAATCACCTACAGGTCCTTGTAAATGTAGCCTGGAGCTGGTGTGATCAGCACCCGGATGGTCTAGCTCATCGACTTCCTCCTTTGGGAACTTTCTTTGCCAGAATTCTAAGGCTCCCCAGGATCCAGCTCAGGGCTGTGTTTCAGAGGCAGGAGGGGAGAGCAGCCCCCTTGGTCTTCTCTTTCCCCTTCCCCCTTTTCCCCTTCCCCCCTTCTGCAATGACATTTTACACATAAATAAGGGGTCTGTCTATTGCTCCAGGTACTGGTTTCCGGGTTCTCCCAACGAGCCTCCTTCTGTGGGTGCAGCATTATTGGGTCAGGGCCCATGTCACGCAGTCCCTGGAATATTTTGATTATTGAATAGTCACCAGCTCCAAAGGTGGATTGCTAGCCTGCTCCACTTGGTCACTGAAAGCGCTGGGCTCATGACAGTGTCCTGTGTGATGAGGGCCTGGACCTGCTGTATCTTGTCCTTGAACCCATGACCTGAGTTTTCAGAACCGATCATGGCCTCCAGGACACAGAGCAGGCCCTAGCAGGTCCTGAGAAGCTTCCTTGAGCTGGTCCCAAATGAACAGTTCCTTCCTTCAGATTGTGAAGGGAGCGTCTTCCCCAGCGATAGCTGGTGGGCTGAATGCTGGTCTAGAACCTTCTGGAAGATCAATTAGAAACTTCAGGGGCCAGGATTGTGAGAAGAGCCTACAGAAATTCTCCGGTTTTGGAACTGTCCCTGCTGGGGTTCTGTGTACGTTTTCCTGAGTAGTGAAAGCCCCAGCATGAAAGACTCTGGGATCCTCGGTGGCAGCTGGATTTGGTGGGGAGCAACCCCAACGCCGAGCCCGTGGCTGCAGCAGGGCTTGTCTGGGGCTGCAGGAGTAATGGCCACAGCAACAGCGCGGCTCAGGGTTGCACTGGTCTCCAGCTGCCCTGCGTGCTGACAGTCTAACTTTCACAATGACCCCATGAGCTGACTGGTATTATCATCACCCCCCCACTTTTTTTTTAGATTTTTGTCATAGGATACATGCATTCGCCAGAGAGACAGAGGGTGAGAAAGTGAGGAATCACTTCCTAAGGGGATGGCCACACCCTTCTCCTCTGTTCTCCTCTTGGGGTTCTGGACATGCATGCACACGCACCTGGCATGTGGGTTTAAACTGCTGGGTCTGGGACTTGAACTGCAGAGTTGGCCATGTGGGATCCAGTGCTTTAACCACCACTCCACCTGCTGGCCCCATGTCACCCCCATTTTATAGATAGAGATACCAAGGCCTAGAGAGATAAGATGACTTCTTCAAAACCAGACAGCTTCTTAGCTGTAGAGCTGGGGCTAGAACCCAGGGGTCCTGGACACTGCACCAATGAGAGCAAAATGGGCCTCCGGGCCTGAGGGCGAGCAGTCGATGGCTAAGCATTGTGGGTACTCTAGCCCTGGACCTCAAAGTGGAGGGTGAGCTGGGCCAGTTAAGGGAAAGGGGGTCCATCCTGGCTAGACTGCCCCGGCTCCCACTGCCCCAGGAAGCTCACATCCATGGTCAAGGCTGGAGGCCGTGCTGGAGTCTGGCCTGCTGCTGTCGCTCTGGAGATCAAGAGAACTCCTCGGACCAGAGGAACGGGTCTGTCAGAAATTCCTGGGATTTGGGCAAACCAAGCCAGGGCCTGTGGGAGAGGATGGGGGTTTACTCCCACACCCCGGGGGACACTACTCAGAGAATTCGCTGCAGGTACTCAGATGGTCTCAGCTGGGCCCACCCATAGTGCCCAGGGGGAGGAGCGCGGCCTGCAGGCCCAGAGCTCACCACTGCAGGAGAGGGAAGATGTGAAAATGGCTCCGGTTCCCTCTTTGCCTCTGTGACGCCGCCTTGACTATGGCCACCTGGTGGAGACACCGTGCATCTCTGTGGCCACAGGAGGGTGCAGTGCCTCGGGGAGCCTTAGTTCCCGTGTCCATGGAGACTGCTGTGGTCGGTGCTCTCTGCCACCAGGGCCTTCTCGACGCCTGCTCTGGATCCAGGCCACTGCCTGGGGCTGCTGGCCGACCACTGCACACCCCTGACAGCCCACCAGGATTGGAGCCCCTCGCCTGTGTCTGGGCCCTGGGAAACCGGGAGATTACAGGCAACCCCGAGGGCGGGAGGAGGACGCACTTAACAAGCACCTGCTACGTAGCGCACGGAGTTGGCCTTCATGCCACCGTCTTGTTTAATCCCTACAACAACGCCGGGAGGGTTTCTTGCACTTTACAGCAGCAGAAACTTTAGAGGTTAGCTGGTCTTCCCGAGGTCTCACAGCCCCGGGGAGCCTCGTGTCCAGTCCGTGTCCATCCCGGTACCACCCAGCGCCACCGCTTGTCAGAGGCTTCTGCCCTGACTCTGGCCTTTCCCTCTCCTCTGAGCTCCCTAACAGACCAGCATCCTGCAGCAGCTACGGCTTCGTGGGGTTGACGACCTTGCCCAGGAAGAGGACGCTCTTGGTGCTGGTGGAGAAGATCACCACCAGGAAGGGCCGGTTGAACCAGAGGACTCGGTGAGTGTGCCAGGCAGAGGTGAAGACGGTGGAGACGCCCGTGGCTGCTACGGCCTCGGTGCCCACCTCATCCATGTTCAGGGTGGCCTTGTGGAAACTCTGCGAGAGAAATCACAGGGTTGTCTCCAACACGACGTGAGCAGTGCCCGGGCAAGAGAAGGAGAAAGAGCTGGTGACCAGCACCAGCGTGGCAATTCGCGAGGTCTCCCCCAGTGCGTGCGGAGAGCTGGGTGGCCTTCTGTGACGGGCGATGGCAGCTGTCATCAGTGAGCTTGTACCCTGCCCCGAGCGCCCTAGTCACTTAGTTCACCCCACTGCCACCTATGAGGTCACTGTACAAATGAGAAGAATAAATTCGCAGACCTGAGACCCTCCCAGTGTCACGGAGGCAGAGCTAAATCTACACTCCCAAGCCCGAGGCTCTATGCGCTTCTGCTTCCCTAAGCTGAGTGTGCAGTCTCCCTCTCTCCTCGGAGAAGGCCCCACCACACACAGCCACAGCCAGCCCGCCTCAGCCCTCTCCCTCCGCCCTCACTGCCGCATTTATCCCTCTCTGTTGCCATGACCTGACTAGTCGCCATCTCCCTGCCATGGCTGGGAGAGCTCTCCAAGGGCAGGGAGCGGCCGCTGCTGTTTCACCAGCACTGAGCGCCACACAGCACCTGGCGTTTGGCTGGTGGAAGCCGAAGCCCATGAACGAGAAGCCAGGTGGAGGCAAGGACGATACCCACCACCTGGCAGCTCCTGAGGGCCGAGGTCCCTGCTGAGGTCAGGGGGTGCTGGCCTAGAGGACTTACTTTGGATGCCTGCAGTTTCAGCCCAGGGGAGGTGCTGGAGAAGTTGGCCCGATGGGAGAACAGGTCTGTGAAGCCCAGCTTGGGCAGAATCAGATCTAACTCATAGGAACCAGAAATGGCAAACTTGGGGAAGTGCAGCTCGAGCTTCCTGTAGAAATACCTGCAAGAGGCATCGAGTTAAAACATGGGAGTCCTGAAAAACAGGGTTGCCGACCGGCTCTCACCAGCCCTCTGTAGCGGGCTCTGTGCCACGTGACCTGTCCCACAGGTGTCTATGACTCAGGCCACCTGTCCAGTCGAGGGCCCACAGTGGCTGGAGGGGACTCCTGAGCCCCACGGCCTGCTGTGCATAGGTCTCCTGCCCTGGGGAGCCCCTTGTCTGTGGATGTCGTCTTCGTCTTCTGTGGGGTGCAGATGCCCGGGGAGAGAACCGCAGGTCTTCCTCTGTGGCAGCTGTGCCCCTGGTTCGGGTGGGCCTGGGTGTTCCTGGTTTGGAACCAGCTGAGTTCTTTGGATTGTCTTCGTCCACCTCACGAGCAAGCGGTCTGAATTTTCCATCCATGTGGGGCCCCAGGCTGGGGTCCTTTCCTTATACATGACTGGAGACTTTTTCCACTCTGAGCCCCAAGACTGTGGAACTTCTTTGCTTCTTCCTCGGACGTCTGGGTGGAATGTTCCTGAAGCCTCCTGTGTCAGCCCAGCCAGCCTCCCTGGACGGAGGTGCCACTGCCCACTGCACAGGGTGAGCCTTGGAGAGGCAACACCTCCTACCCGAGGCTTGGGCAGCAGGAGAGCAAAGCCTTGAACCCAGGACTCTTCACTCCTGTTTTCCCTGATGAGTGAACTATTTTAAATAACAGCTTAATAGGAGAGTCCATTATTTAAAGAAACCCATGGAAAGTCTTAGAGCTAGTGAGAGCTCTTCGGTAATTTGGCAATCCCTCCTTGTCTTGGGCATTGCCTGCCTGCCCGCCTTCCTGCCTTCCTGTCTTCCTTCCTTCCTTCCTTCCTTCCTTCCTTCCTTCCTTTCTTCCTTCCTTCCTTCATTGCTAGTGGGCGTGCACACTCACCAGAGCATGATAGAGAAACCGAGGGAGAGGGAGAACATACCCCCAATGGGCCACAGTCACCCCACTGTATTTTCTTTCTCCTCCATTTCTCCATCTGGTTGGGAGTTTGGCATGCACAGCCCCCCAGGAGTTGACCACCATCAGCCATGTGGGATCCAGCTCCCTTAACCACGAGGCTACAGGGCTGGCCCACTGTCTTTCACCAGAAGGCCCCGGTGAAGGGCAGAGCCGCAGCCCAGCCGGGCGGCACCCCTTACCCCTTCTGCAGCAGGCTGGTCCACCTCATCAGCATCTCCGGGGTCAGCACCTGCTCGATCTGCTGCATCTTGCCGCGGTTAGGAAGGATGAGCAGCGCCATGGCGTCCCCGGTGTAGTCCAGCCGCAGCACCGAGCAGGGCAGGTACCTGTCGTGGAGGTACCAGTGGTGTGCCTGGTCCTGCAGCATCATGGGTACCCTGACGACTGTGTGCTCGTCCACGTGGAAGTCCTCGGGAGTGGTCCTCGAGCGCTTGAACGGCTTCTTCCACAGGGCTAAGGGGGACAGAAAGAAGCACAAGGCCTGGCGGGTTACAAAGACCACCCCTGCCAGGAACTGCCTCCTGGTGCTCTGGGCTGTGAGAGAAAGGAGACCCAGGGGGAGAGACAGAGAGACAAGCAGGCCCAACAGGGTCCTTGTGCTGTGCCCCCGCCCCCAGCCTCATTCAGCTCAGATTACAGGTGAGCATGCACACCCAGTGTGTTCAAGGCTGCGAGCTAGGACCTCTTCCACGCGGCCCCAACCACGTTTGCACCGTGCCACCTGGCCCCTCATTTAGGCCATTCCAGACCTGGCATGCCTGGAGAATGGACCCTAGGACTCACTTAGACTTTAACATGAGAGGCAGCGGGCTAGCGAGGTGGCTGGATCCCACATGGCCAGTGGCATGGTTCAAGTCTCCGACCTGGTGGCTCGAAAGATATGCAGGGCACATGTGCATGCCCCACATCCCCAGAGGACAGTAGGTGAGGGGGTTGCGGCACCACCAGGGCAACACTGCCCTGCTCTCCGAAGGGCGCTGTTGTCGGATGAGATGACGGGAGGGCAGTGTTGCCCCGTGTGCCCCACTCCTCCCTGTTCACCTCCAGGCTTGTTTCTCCCTCCCTGCCTGCCTGACCCACAGCGTCCCAGGCCATTAGGTAGCCAGGGGCCTCTCCACAGGCTGCCTCTCCTGGAGGTCTTTGGGCAGCTGGGTATGCCCACCATAGAGTCCCCACGGCTCTGCTCTTAAGATGTATCTCCGCCCTCCGACTCTCCGTCCCTCCAGACGTTCACTTCCGCAGACCCTCACACAACCAGGTATGGTCTGACTCCTGCAGCTCTCCCCTTGCCCCGACACACAGTGGCTCAGCGTCTCTACGGCACCCTGACAGAGCCACACTGAAGAACACTGTCCTCACACTGAACTATCAACTGTGCTTTCCGTGTGCATGCGTGCGTGCGTGCGTGTGCGTGTGCAGAAGACTGGTAGGAAAGATGCTTCAATGTTAACGTTGGTTGCCTCACAGTGGTAGGATGAGGGTTACTATGGTGTTAATGTGTACCCCCAAAGTTCCTGTGTTGGAACCTTAACCCCTAAATTCATAGGTTGGTGACATTTGTAGGTAAGGCCTTGGGAGGGAATTGGGGTTGGATGAGGTCCTGAGGGTGAGGCTTCCATGATGGGATTAATGGCTTTTTATTTAAGTTCATTCATTTATATCTTCCATGACAGAGAGGCGCAGACACAAAAAAGAAAACGAGAGAGAGAGAGGAAAAGACCCCTGCAGAGCTTCCACACTGTGACACTCCCCGTCTCGGCCAGGTGGGTGGTCGGTGCACGTGCATGCTCAGGGTGTCCAGGCACGAGCCCACACTTCCCCGTGCGGGCCGGTTGTGGGTTAGTGGCTTTATAAAGAAAGAAAAGATGGCCTGAGCCTGAGATAGACACTCCCCTCTACTCCCCACCCCCTTGACACTCTCCGCCCGTTACAGCACAGCAAGAAGATTCTCACCAGATACCAAGCAAAGGCTGGCACCATGCCCTTGGGCTTCCCAGCCTCCAGAATCATAAGAAATCAATCTCTTTTCTTTATAAGTTACGCACTCTGAGTGTGTGTGTGTGTGTGTGTGTGTGTGTGTGTCTGTGTAAGTTTACCTATTGCTTTCCTCCATGAGGGAGAGATGGAGAGACAGACCCCCTGCAGAGTCCTGGCATTGAGACCCACCTCAGCCTCCGCCAGCCCTGGATCATGGGCAAGGCCATGCCCGGAGTACTCAGGGGGGTTCTCTGGACTTGAACTATGAACTCCCCATGTGGGCTCTCTTAGCAAAGTGTTGTATCTTATCATTTGGCCCTTAAGTCTGTGGTATTCTCTTACAGCAAGAGAAAATGAACTAAGACAGGGATCATTTTTATTTTCTCTTTTATACTTCATATATTTTTAAGTCTTCAAAATGAACATTGTTGGGAACCAGCAGTTAGCGTAATGGCTATGTCGCTGGACTCCCATGTAGTCAACCGCGGTTCGCGTCCCGGACCCGGTGGCTTAAAACTCATGCTGGGCGCATGTGTCTGTGTGCCCAAGATCCCGAGAGGAGAATGGAGGAGAAGGGATTGCGGTGTGACCATCCCCCCTGGGGGGTGATTTCTCGCTTTCTGTCTCTCTGTCTCTCTCTGTCTGTCTGGTGAGCGCACATGCCCTATAGCGAAAACCTCTCAAAAAAAAAAAAAGAGCATTGTTACTGTTAGAATAATTACAGGGACTATTTATTGAATATGTCTAATGGTCAGAGATCTACAGACGAAAACAAGTGTGTAGAGATACTCAGTATTGGAGACTGTTAGCCACCAGTCAGGCTAGGACGTGACCGCTCAGTCAGCCACGGAGTGTTCAGCCAGGGGCAATCCGTCAATGAATGGGCATGGCCGCGTGCCAATAAAACTTTCTTTACAAAAACAGGTGGTCAGTGGGATTTGTCCTAGGGCTGGAGCTTGCCCTTCGCTTTAGGCCCTCTTCTAGAGTATATACAGACAGGTTAGATCACTCGACCCCCAAAGCAAGCCTTTGAGGTTGAGACTCCACTCATCCTTTCTTTGAGTGAAAACGCTGACCTGTTTACACTGGTGAGAGGGGTGAGCTACAGAGCCAGCAGTTCAACTCCTGATCACGGTCTCTATGCATTTTCACATTTCCTTATTTACAAGTAAGTAAGAAAACATATCTACAAACAGGAAGGGACCAAACCCTCCATGTTACAGTCTTAAATATATGGTACTCTGGGCCAGCAGGTGGCAGGGTGGTTAAAGTGCAGGACTCCTACAAGGCCATCCGCAGTTGGGGTCCCAGATCTGGCAGCTTACTCTCTCTCTCTCTCTCTCTCCTTTCTCCCTCTCTCTGGTGAGTACACGTACCCTGTAGCAAATAAAGAAGAATAATAGTGATTAATAAAATGAAGTCATTTTATGTGTGTGTGTGTGTGTATTTATAGTACTCAGCCATTAATCTTCTGAATGCTGCTTGACCCTACCAGACCCAACCTACTCGCTCTTTTTTGGCTACCTCATTGGCCACCGAATTAGTGGGCAGAGTGACTTGGGGGCCACCGTGATGTCCTACCTTTGAAGTAAATGTAGTTCACCAGCACTGACTCGGTGTCCGCGCTGAGACTGCTGACCAGGTTGACAATCTTCCCTCGAGTTTCCCTCTGGACGTGCTCATTGATAAGCTGGACCGCACCCACGCTGCTGCGGAAGCTGGTGTGGAAGAGTTTGGACCCATAGAAGGCCATGGTGTCATTGAGCAGTTTCGGAAGGGGCGGCAGGTCTTGGCTCAGGAACAGGGCGCTGCCCACGTGGGTTTCTAGCCCGCTGCCCGGGAGCCTGAGAGTCTGCAGCAAGTGCTGGAAGCCACGGTGCACATCAGACTCGGACATCTCTGTGAGGTTGAAGCCCAGGTCCTGGAGGATCTGAGCCTGGAGGTGCGAGTCAGCCGCCAGGGAGAGCATGGCCAGGGCGGCAGAGATGCTCAGCGGGGAGAAGACGATGTTCTCCCTGGGGGCTTCGGAAGCCATCAGGTGGTAGAGGCGGAGGGCGAAGTCGGTGTTGCCAGGGGCGATCTTGAGGCTAGGGGAGCCCTCCCTCACCCCGGGAGCCTGCTGACAGGAGCTGTTGGTGCGACCGTCGGCATCACACTCAGGGTGCGGCTGACCAGGAGAAAGGGCCAGGAGTCCGGCCAGGAGGAGCAGGAGGTAGTCAGAGGGGTGCATCCTCTGTGCTGGCAGGGCTAGGAAGAAAGAGGACACGGAGGGAATCCCCCCGGCAGGGCAGGGGACGGGACCCAGCGGGGCGAGGGCACCCTCAGCTCCCACAGGTGGGTGTGAGGAAGGCAAATCCCAGCATCTCCCATGGTGTGGTGACAACAGTGTGATTGTGGCCGGTGCTCTAGTGACAGGACGCACTCCCTGTGCCCGCCCCCCAATCTCATTCTCTCTCTGTGGGCACTGCAGGACACCGGAGTCCACTCTCCTTCAGAGACGGGGAACAGAGGCTCCGGTAAAGTGACTTAACCAAATCACCCAACCACAAAACACCAAGCCTGGTCCCGGTCTCCAGACTCAGACTGGCGCTACTTGAGCTTGCTTCTCTCCTTCTCTCCTCCTCTCTCTCTTTCACTTTTTTTGAGAGATTTTTGCTATAGGGTGAGTGTGCTTGCATAAGAGATAGAGAGAGACAGAGAGACAGAAAGTGAGAAATCACCCCCCAGGGGTATGACAATGGCACAGTCCCTTCTCCTCCATTCTCCTCTCAGGATTTTGGGCACGCACGCACACGCACCTGGCATGACTTTCAAGCCACCAGGTCTGGGACTCAAACAATGGTGGGCCAATGGGGGTCCAGCGCCCAATGGGGGTCCAGCGCCCAGTGGGGGTCCAGCGCCCAGTGGGGGTCCAGCGCCTTAATCACCACAACACCTGCTGGCCCCACCTTGCTTTTCTTATGCACGCAGTACTTCATTAGCCCAGGGGCCCCGCCCAGGGTGCTAAGACCAAAGGGGGTTTAGATGTCTGCTCCGCAAAGAGCCGTGGTCCCCTGTGCAGTCTACACAGCACTTGCGTGCCAGCGTGCTCGACTTCTCACCGGACAGAGGCTGATGGAGCCGGTCTTCCCCTCACCACGCTGTACAGTCCGTCAGTGATTGGTCCGAGGCTGCAGGGGTGAGGTTGCTCCCTCGTGCACAATGAATGTAACCTGCCCCAAGGCCGGTCTGGGTGCCCTGATTTCCCCCCAAGACCTGCTCTGGCTCCACCAAACAGCCACAGCCCTCCTCCGTCCCTCTGTCTCTCAGGCTCTGTCCACACCACCCCGTTCAATGTGCCAGCATGCCCTGCAGTGTCTTCCCGCAGCCCCTCATCCCTCCACTGCTTCGACCGTCGATCAAGTCCCCCTCAGAGGACTTCAGACCAGGGGTCAGAGCACTCCGTCTACCGACGATGGTGCCATCTGTGCTTTCACAGGCCACAGGCCACACAGCCTCTGGCCCCAACTCCACCGGCCACGGCAGCTGGGGAGTGGCACAGACGACAGCGGGGCAGCCAGGGGCCCGTCAGGCCATGTTTATAGACACTGAACTTCATGTAATGTTCACAGGCCACAAAATAGTGTTCTCATACTTTTCCAACCATCTACCCAATTTATATTTGTAATATATATCCTTTTTATGTTTAGGGCTTGTATCTTGTGTTCTTAGTGCAGAGGTGGTGGGCTGGGTTGGACCCACAAACCAGGGGTGGGCCCTGAGCTGGGCGCTCTGAGCGGCTCCTAAGTGGCTGACCCTCTCCATTGCCCACTCTGCAGACAGGGCCCCGGGCCAAGCTGTATTCAGCTTTATTAAAGATAGTTTTCTCTTAAAAACACACACGGACCCCTTTGCTCACCGCTGCCCTCAGCTGCATCGGTGGTAAGAGGAAGGCCAGTTCTACTGACCTCCAGGTGGCCAGAGGGTCGGACACAATGGCAGGAAAATGGTTTCTAAGATGAGAAGCACGTTGGGACAGTTTGTAGAACAGATGCTGAGAAAAACGTTGGTGCTTAGAACCCCTGTGTGGTGTGGACGCTTAAACCCCTGTGCAGTGTGGACGCTTAGCATCCCAGTGCAGGTGGGCTGATGAAAGAAACTCGTTGTAAGAGGGGCAGCATTTCTCCCCACCACGGCTTCTCACAGCCTGGGAAAAACCCTGTCCTCCCACACTCCCGTCCTTCTCTGTGGGCCACAGTGACAAGCCCTGTCACAAGCCCTCCAGAGGCACTGAGAGTGGGGGCTGGCAGACCTGGGTCCCGGGAAGAATGCTGCCTTGAGCTAGCTTTGCAGTTTTGAGGGGTACTCTGGGCCTAGGCACCAGTCACCCTGGGTGTAGCGAGAAGGCTGGTCAAAGCCACATGGAGGGGTCTTAGCATGTGTCACCTCTGGGGAGGTGGCCACCCACCCCTGTTTACCCAGGCCTTTCCTGATTTTAGCACTGGAAGTCCTGTGTTCCTGGAGAACTCTCAGTTTGGGCTGAAGCAGGACAATTGGCCACCAACTGGCCACCCTCCCTCTCGCGTCTCCGCCATCTCATTGTCTTAAAGGGCTACTCACAGCACAGTCTGTCCTGGAAGGTCTCTGTGGGTGGCCGTCTCAGCTCTAGAAGACTGAAAAAACAAGGCCCTTGGCACCGCCTACCACACGCCCTGGGTAATGATTAATGAACAGACCCACGGGACAGTGGCGTCTCCACCAGGGAAGAACCTCACCAGCAGGCTCAGCTCTTCCCAGTCACCGACCCCTCTTCTCTCCTGGAAAACTCCAAGAAAGTGTGAGCAGTGCGTGGAGGTTTACCTGCTGCTTGGGAAGGCTTGGGGAACCGCTGGTGGGCCTGGTCTCAGCCCCTCATTTGCTGTGTGAACTTAAGCCACCCACCCCCTCACTGGGCTTCAGTCAACCTCCCACCTGCAAAATGAGGGGTGGAGACAGACCCAGGGCAGCAAATTCCAGTGCCCCAACAAACCAGATAGGGATGTCTCTTGGGTGCCACTGTAGGGAATGGTGGGGTGTGGAACTGGAGAGAGCCAGGTCTCTGCTGGTCTGACCAGAACCTGCCCAGCCTCCCATTTGCAGTCCTGGACACCGTGACTTCTTTTCTTTCTTTCTTTCTTTCTTTCTTTCTTTCTTTCTTTCTTTCTTTCTTTCTTTCTTTCTTTCTTTCTTTCTTTCTTTCTTTCTTTCTTTCTTTTCTTTCTTTCTTTCTTTCTTTTTCCAGAAAGGTTTTTGCTATAGGATGTGTGTGCTCTCCAGAAAGATAGAGAGAGACAGAGAGACAGAAAGTGAGAAATCACCCCCCAGGGGGGATGGCCACGCCACAATCCCTTCTCCTCCATTCTCCTCTCAGGATCTTGGGCACGCACGCACATGTGCCCGGTGTGAATTTAAGCCACTGGGTCCGAGACTCAACCCACGGTCGACTGCGTGGGAGTTCAGCGACATAGCCATTACGCTAACTGCTGGTCCTGACACCATGACTTCTGAAGATGGGACCTGCTGAGACCTCGCATGACAGACCACCAGGACAGGGCACCTGGCAAGGGTTGCAGGGGCTGGACCAGACCTCTCCTTGGGCCAGGAGTCCAATTTGCATGTTTCCTTTTGAAGGAGAAAACTTCCTGTGTTTGCACAATCAGTGAGCCTCTGCACCAGGGGACACGCTGGGGCAGCCATTTCTCAAGTGGAAAAGGGCCATAGGGAGCCCCTGGCCCTAAGTACCCTCCCGAGATGACCTGGACCATTCAGGCTTCCTTGGACAGACTTTTCAGGTGTGTTTCAGACACCCCGCTGAGCAGCAAGACTGGGCTGGGCCCTCTGAGCCCAGGAGAGCCTGGGATGGCAGAGCAGACATAAGCCCAGCCCCGCCCCCTGCTGGCCATCATAGGACCAGAGAGGAACTAAACATGGGGCAGTGAGAGTTGTAGTCTCACCCAGCTCTCTCTTCTCAATCTTCCTCCATCTTCTCAAACACACTCGAAGGCTATTAGCTTTACCCCATCTGACACAGGAGAACTCTAAAGCTATTCTGTTTGCTTAGATTCTAGAGTAAAGATCTGCACCCTGAGCTGTTGCCAAAGCCCAGGTCCCTCCCAAGCCCCTGCTGCCTCCCTGCATGGCCCACTGGGACAGCAGCTCCATCATTGTCTCTGCTGCAACCCAAGTGCTAGGGCAGGGTGTGCCCGCAGAGTATTCGCAGCCTGCGTGAATGAAAGACAGTTCTTGGTTTGGGGTCTCATGAATGTGAAAATGGTGATTTCCTTCACTATGGGCAAGAGCTGAGTGTTCATTTCCTCAGTCCGGCTTCTGCAGTGAGCTTGGGGCTGATGCAACCAGTTCCAGGGGTCGGCGTGTGCTTGGCTGCAGACCGAAGGGTGGACAGCGCCTGCCGTGGGCCACAGCCCCTGCCCTTGGGTTTCTGGGGCCTGCCCCGCGTTGTTCTGGACAGAGGTTGGGTTTTAGAGACAGACAGCTCTTTCCCTGTGGGGCTGTGTGACTTTGGACAGTCACTCCACCACTCTGCACCTCAGTTTTCCCATCCGTCAAATTAGGGGCAATAATCCCCAATAGGAAAGGCTGGTGCAGGGCCATGGAACGGCCTCAGGCCCCCCTCCAGGCTCTGACAGAGAGGAGAGTCTCATGGCTGGGGTGAATCCTGACTCTGCCCCTGAGTAAGCGACCCACTCTGCCTTGGCGTCCCTGTCCCTAAGTCTCAGGGTTGTCATAAGAAGTCAGTAAACACATTCATGCCTAGGGTCTGGTGATGGTGCAGCACTTGGGAGTTATCCCGTCATGTGATTCATGGCTTGCCCACCGTCACTGGGCTGTTGGAAAAGTCACGGTGCATTTTTGCATAGAAAAGATGACAACCCAGTGTTTATTCCCCATGTGTAAACACAGCCGAAGTGGGGTTTTCGAACTTCTTTGAGTTGTGATCCAGACAGAGCCTCTGAGAAAGCTTTGGCCTCCCCTGAAATACACACGTATGCACAGCCTTTGATATTTAGGATTCTTGAACCCCACGAGGTCCGCACAGGGCCTGGGTGCCGGGGCAGGTATTTTCCCCCACGAAGAGCAGACCCGTGTCACAGAGAGATGGAAATGGCCTTCGGACCTTGAACGGAGCCACTGACTTCAAATGTGGGGAGAAGGTGGGGAGATGGCCGAGTGCCAGGTGGCAGACTGAGCCCCATCGTGGGCTTAGCACTCGGGCATGCTCAACAGCCTGGCGGCTTCCCGTCTCTGTGTGTGTGTGTGTGTGTGTGTGTGTGTGTGTGCATGTGTGCGCTCCAGGGTATTTGAAACTTTGCGTGTTTCTTCAACTGGAATGCCAAAGGTTTCTGGTTACTCTTCTGTGAAGGTCAAGAGGAGAATGGATCATGCCATAGCTATACCAAGGCCTTCACCTCAGAACAGGCCTGGCCTGGAGAAGACGCTTAGTCAGGCCATGAGTGAATGAATAGGGACGCCCGAGGCTCTGCTCAGAGAGCGGGCAGTGGCATGCTCCTGCAGACAGCGACAGTCTTAACAAGGACTGGCTTGAAAAGGAGGGAGCAGCCCTGAGACCAGGAAATCCAGCGTGGAAGCGGAGGAGCAGGGGGCTCGGCCATTTCTCTTCACCCCTCCACTGCCGCTGCACCAGGCAGGGCTGCCGCGGGGCAGGACTGAGGGCCCTGGGAGAGAGCCGCCCTTCCTAGCTCTGAGCAGGGAAGAAGGGCCGGAGCCGAGCTGCGCTGTAGGGCATCTCTGGGTCACGCTTTCCCTTATGGGGGGCTGGACTCGGCCTGGGCTGTGCCCTTGTGGGTTCTAACCCCCCCAGGGTTGGGAAGCTGTTGTCTCCTGAGTGAATTATACTATTCTGGGGGCCAGTGATGACCCGGGCAAGGATGACTGTCCCAGAACACTGCAAAAGTGGCTAAGGCACAGGAAGTTTCAGCAGGCTTTGGCCTAAGACCAACATTCTTCAAAATATGCCCTTGGAATGCTTCATAAAAGGAGTACTTATTAAAAGTGAAGAAGGACTGGCATTTCCCCAAGTCTCTGAATGAGAACCATGATTCTGATGGCGTAGCGTGTGTCTGAGAATCCGCGCCCGAATGTGTTCCCTGTGTGGGTCTCGGCTGTCACCATCTCAGAGCCAGCACTGGCAGGGCCTAGTTCCTGCAGCTAGAAGTTCCGCCACCAGAGGGCGCGCCGCCATCTCTTTACAGCACAGGCATCTCTTCTATGGCCAGGGCTTCCTAAGACCTTGCCCTGGGACTTTGGGTGAAAAAGGGTGTTTTTGCACTTGGGAAACACACCCGGCCCCTTCTATTCTGAAAGGCTGTTCCAGCTAGCTTGCCTAGCCAAACGCCTCCTCTTACGGGGGACAGGAGCTGCCCAGGGCAAGTTAATGGACAGTCACACAAACACTTCCTCTCCGGAGCTCGGGGAGCTGCGGGTGGGAGGGAGATGGAAAGATCTGGAGTCTCGGGGAGGAGAAGACTGCAGCGGGACCGTGCCTTTGCTCATTCATTCCTCCAGTCATTCTCAGCTCTTGTGCTCGCTGGAGAGAGACAGAGACAGAGAGGCGAGGGAGAGAGGAAGTGTGAAAGCATCGCTCGTGGGGCACGGTCACGCGCACTCCCTTCCCCATCTCTCCCTCCTTTCAGGACTTTGGGCACACACGCTCAGTGCGTTTTTCAAGCTGCAGTATCTGGACTGGGACGGCATGGTCCGTCCTGTGGGATCCAGCTGCCTGAACCACCAGGTCACAGGCGGCCCTGTTCTCAGCTCTTTACTGAGCTCCTGCTATGACAAGCAAAATCATAACTAAAAAATAAATCAAAATCAAAATATGCCACTGGTTCACCGGCCACGGCACACTGCGGACGTGCTGAGGCTGAGGGAGGAGTCAGGGTGGGACGGACCCGCACTGACTTGCTCTGGCTGTGGAGAGGGCTCTCCGGAGGGCTTCCCGAGCAAGGAAGCATTGAGCTGAGCAAGTGAGAAGAAAGTGCCGAGGCAGAGGAGAGGGCGGGAGTGGAGAACAGTGCTGCCGCCAGGAACAGCGTGTGCAAGTGTTCTGAGAAGGAGAGCAGGCCGGGTGCAGAGGCGCTGGCGTGCTGGGCTCTGGCATGAGGGCACGTAGTGGAGGGGACGGAGAGGCAGGCACGGGGACACAGGTGCTCAGCCCTGACCTTGGGGAACAGCAGCGACAGCACAAGCAGCCACTGGCCAGGCCATAAGCCATGCAGCAAGGGACCGAAAGGAGGAGACAGGAGCGGACTTCCTAGAGGAGGAGGCATTGAGGTTGGTCCCAGTTTGGTTTGAGTAAGGACATGGCTGCCAACCAGAGCAGGGCGCACCTTTGCCGTGAGGACTCCATAGCTGGCCTGAGCCGATGACCACAGCAGGTGAGAACCCTCCTGAACCAGGACCGGAGAGGGATGGGGCTTCCTCCTCCTCACAGGCCAGCTCCTCTCAGCCCTGTCGCTCTCCCCACCATGACTGCGGCCACCCTTGCCTCCCTTCCTGGCCTAGGTTCCTCTGCCCGTGCAGCCTCCACGTGCTCTCACTCAGGGCAGGCTGCGGCCCACCCCTCAGTCATGCCTGTGCTCCTGCGGCCCCAGCTTGGCGTTGCCGGCTCTCACTCAGAGCTGCAGTGTGTCGGGGCT